AGTCTGGAAGGGACAAGGATTACTCTGGATTGTTTAATATTAAGACATCCACTGTCTGACCCCCTGGTTTGCAGTTTTACAACCTGTAGGTCTGGGCAGCTCCTCACTTAGCCATGTAGGCTGGTTTTAGATTGCTTTTTGAAGGGATCCATCATTCTGCATGGACCATGCAAAGAGCCTAGGGGCTGTCTGGGACCCTCTTAAATGCTGAAGCCAAGGTCTTAATTCCAGCTTTGGATTGCCAAGGCTGGTTGTGCTCAGTCAGCCCTGCATGTCTCTCCCCATGCCTTGCTAGCACGTTGAGCCAGACGCAGCATTCACAATAGCAGTGTTTCACAGAGTAGGGCAAGGAGCCTGTTTCATTCCCAAATATGGAACCTCTCCAGAAAAGCTGGTCTGTGACAGTGCCAACACCTCCACTGGTACATTGTACATCATCTAAAAAAAGCTGCCAAGTGCCACCAGCACCTCCACTTGCTGATTCACCCCATCCCACTGACTGGGTCCCTCACACCTCGAGGCTGCAGCCCCTTTTGTGAAGGTGCCATTTAGGGATCTGCACATTTCCCTCCCCTTTCAATTTCTTTTCATGACTGTAGTGGATAATGGAAGATGACAGAGGGTGATAATTACAGCAGATTGTTGGTTTTGGTTTTCTTCCTTTTAAAAAAAATGTTATAGGCATCCTAAGCATTTTAAGCAGCTGTAAAGATGGGTGTGGTATCCTGGGTAGCATAGCTGGCTAAATGCAATAACTGTAGAGCAGGCCAGAGAGTGACTTTTGAGCTAAACTAGTAACTGCTCTTTACTGAAGCTGCAAAATTAGCTAAATGATTTCCACGGGGTTTGCAGCCCTTGGATTCAACTCGGATCTTTCACTGAATGTTGCAGCTGTTCAGCAGGATCTACATCCTCTGTGATTAAATAAATTGGCTGTGAGCGTGTATGAATTATTAGTGGTAATGGTATGCAGCCTTTTTGCTTTTGCAGGATCTGATCCACACAGTTGCCTACAAACAGGGATGTGTTGATTAGAAGGGAAGGAAGGGACTGAGGGGCTTTTGTCCAAGTCTATTAAGACCACGGGCTTTGAGGCACACTCCACACTTTCAATGCATAAAATAAGGGAGCCCAAATGCCAGTTGTCAACTGCAGTGCCCATGCAGACCAAGGCAGCATCAGCCCTGTTGAAGTCCTGTGGAATCCTGCTGAAAGCAATGGGACATGACACACACATGCTCACAGATATAAATATACCTCAGGGCATAAAGCAAAGCTTGTGAAACTTTTTCTTGCTGACTAGCCGGCTCTAGATCTTTGTGGAAATCTTATGCTGATGGCAAATCCCTAAGCCTGGCCTGAACCTTGCCTGCAAGAAGTACTGGAGGACACAAGTGTTTTGTCAAGACACAAATCCACAGCAGGTGCATATGCACCACAAAAGGGAACTGTCTGAAGGTCAGTCAAACCGGCTGAAAACCAGAGATATCAAGGACCTGTCAGAGCAACAGCTTCAAGTCTTGTGACCAGTGGGTACCTGGGACCAAAAAAAAAAAAAAAAAAAAAAAATTATATAAGCCTTTTTTGCCAGACGGAAACTCCTGGCACTCTGTTGGTTTCTGAAAGGTGCTCACCCAAAGAAGTGTGTGAGCTTGCCCATGGCTTTATACCTTGTCCTTTGCACATAAGCATGCTTATGTATAAAGCACCACTCATGCTTTGGGATCATGTGGCAGCACCAGCAATAGGCAGAAGTTTCCCATTTGATCTCATCATCCCAGGCAGTGCAGGCTGTGGGAGGAAAAGAAGCTGCACTGCTTGCTGACTGGTACTTCACAAGTGAAACGCAGTGCTGATAAAGCCCCTACCCAGCTGGAGAGCCAGCTGTCACTGGGATAAGAAGGCTTTCTGACATAGTTTTCCCTTATTTGGTTTATCTCTTAATAGGAGGCACAGCTAATGGTGAGGCTCAGTGGTGGCTGCGGTGGGCTGGTTGTTAGACAGTGTTGGAATGGCTTTAAGGGCCACCATCCATGTGTAAGTTCCTTTGGGGCAATTCAACATTACATATATTGCATTGCTAAGGAATTTTTGACTGAACCCCAGAATTTATTTTCTCTGAAACTGGGCTTTGGACTTACAGATATGAGTGTACAGAAATGGAAAAAGAGAGGGCTGAATAGGGAAGGAGATAAATTGCCAAGGTTTGTGATCACTGATCCACTGTAGAATCAGAGGCAGAAAGAGTGAACAGGTACTCATGTTTGGAAAAGGATGAGATGTGTTTGGAGAGTGGAAGTGGAAAGTGCAGTGAGCAATACTCGTGGGAAAAAAAAAACAAACAACAACCTGTTGCTGCAACAAAACCTAAAGAGAGCTGAAAACAAACAGTCTGTGAATGCAATGGGCGCTAGACACTCTTGCCACCTGAGGAGAATAATTGGCAAGGGCTGAGTAAGAGCTTGTTCTGGGTTTAGAGGAGCAGCATTTTTATGCTAATAGTCCTTTCACTTGCCTGCAGTGCTGCTGTTGTGCTCTCCTGGAAGAACTGGGCAGAAGGCTTTCCCAGGACCTGTTTGTGGGGAAGGGCTGGCCGCAGTTTAATCTGGTCCAAGGCAGTCGAGTGCAAGCCTGCGGTCCCTCCAATCCCCTGCACACATCTCTCTGCCCTCGAGGTCCCCCAGACAGTCTGTTCAAGTGCACAAGTTGGTTGCAAACAGCCCAGCCTGGGCAGTTCACTTTGGGCAGAGCTGCTCCTGAGCTGTGGCTGGGCTGGCACTGGGCACCACGAGCAGTGTGGGAAGGGGTCAGAACCACAGCAGGACTGGCTGAGGCTGCCACAGTCTACTGGTCTGTGAAGCTGACTCCTGACTCTGGCATCTAGGGTGATCGTCCTCCCTTCCCCAGCCATTCTCATAATCAGTGGTGATGTTCCTCCTTGCCTTATGGAGTCCTGCCCCTTCCTAGCACACCACCCATGATGTCTGTGCTTCACAACACCTTTTTTGCTTTAACAGTTCAAGAGACAATCAGCAGGGGCTTTTTTGAGAGTCTTAAGCTGTCTTTAGCAAAAGTAGACTCAGTTTTGGCCTAAATTCTCTTGTCTGAGAAACATCCTTTCTGAGAATTTAATTAGAAGTGATTCTCATTTACATGGATTCTACCAGCTGCCCTTAGCTCTATGGCCCTAGGGGAAAAAAAAAATAAATGATACTGTGAAAGATATTAGTGAGGACATTAGAAGCAACCATACCCAGATCACGCAAAGTTCTGAAAATACCTAGCATTCACATGTCCTAATTGCTTTTCTCCTGTCACAGCTGTTGGGTGAATGCTCCATCTGAGAGTGGGCTGCCTCAGGGGTTTCTTTTTCATTATGCGATGTATATATGGAGACAGGAGCAGGCAATGACTGCTCAATAAGGGAAGGAAGTAGGCTTAAGCAGCAAGAAGAAAATTGAACTTAGTGGAGGAAGATCCAGGAAGCTAATATTTGGCTTAAACAGGGGCAGGCATGCTTGGAGGAGCAGCAGAGAAGCAACTGAGCTGTTTTGCTAACAGCCAAGATGTTAAGAGCATTAAACATATTTTGAAGAAAGATGAGATACCACTTCTGGACTTCAGGGCCTTGTTCAGTTGTGTCTTTTAGCAAATCAAGATCATAATAAAATGATTTCCATATCTTACAGGAACATCAGCAATATGAGAAGCTTAGGAATCTTGAGAACTGAAACAGGAGAAAGGAATGGCAAGTTCCAGGCCCTGAGCCCTCATCCCTCTCAGGACTCCTGTTAGACTGGTGTGATGTCCACTGTGATTCTGTCACAACACCCAGGGCTTTTCTGCCCTGGGAGCACGGCAGCAGAAGTGCTTTGCCATGGAGCACTGCTCCTTATTGTCAGGAGAGGAGGAGTAAGATTATGTGAGGTCAAGAGGTATGCCCAAAGGCAGCAAGTGACAGCTGTAGGGCTTGAAACCTTGTGCTCAACCGAGCAGGTAAAAGGCACCCCTGCAAACCTTGGGTTTGCTTGGCTTTACAGCCTGTGAAGTGTCAGGTGCTCCTGGCCCATTATCTACACAGTGCTTTGTTTCCAATCTCATAAATAAGATCTGACGCAAAGGAGGCAACATTTAAATGTTGTAACGTACATTGAAATGTTCTCTCTAGGCTGTCTGTGTAAAATGCTTTGCCAGCTACATCGGCCTTTTGGCAGCTGCTGCAGTGACAGCTGAGAATGCAATATGATAAAAATGCCACTTCTGCAAAACAGTCATGGTGCATGGGCACATCGCTGATTCCCTGTGATGGCTTGTGAAGGGACAGGATTTGCCAAAACACGTCTGTTTGGGGCAGCATGAGGGCTGGAGAAAGCAAAGCATCTTGTGAATGTTAAACCAAGTATGATAACATATAAATGACTCAAGACCTCAGTTGCTTCCACTGAATGAATCAGAAAAACTTTGTGGAGTGTGTACCTGTGGTATGCATTGATCAAGTGGTATGAAACCATTACTGCCCTGCTTTTGAAAGAGTGAAAAACAAAGCAAAATGGCAACGGGTTAGCACAACTGTCAGTTTTCCTGATGGAACCTAGATGGACCCTGATTGATTGTTGTTTTAATTAATCAGAAGCAATCAGCTTGTAAATGCTGGCATTAACACACTTCTATTAAACCACATGTTGTTTATTCCAAACTGCATATTAAGCCATTCTGAAGAGTAGAAGAGGAGTCTAAAAGCTCTCAGATAAAAGCTTCAGAAGCTCAGCATGGCTTCTGATGCTGAACTGCTCAGACTGGCTCCATCCCGCAGACCACCTCTAAAACACTGCAGCAGAAGGCAGCAGTCCAAATGGTTTTCATCTTGTCTTAGAAGAAGAGACTTCTTTCTCTCTGGGATTCCCAAATTGCAGTTTGACACTTTGATTCCCAAGTGGCAGCCTGTGTTTAAGCTAATGGCAATTGCTTGTATAAACTTTTATTTCCTTTTCTCTCCATAGGTTTGTTGATCGGCTCTGGTTGTGCCCTCTATCCTCTTGGCTGGGACAGTGAAGAAGTCAGACAAACCTGTGGTAACCTTTCCAACCAGTTTGAATTGGGTGAGTCATCACCAGAGCATCTCAGCCACATTAGACTCTTCTATGTATTGGCCATAAAAGCAAACGAGGATTTTAAAAGCACAGGCTTGGGGAAGCAACCTACCAGTGTGTGGTAGGCTAATCATATTGAATAATTCTGGAACGGTGCTGAGGCAGGGGATTTCAGATGGATCTCTGGAAATATTTTCCAGAAGAACATTATAAAAGAAAATGTATGTATATATGTATATATGTATCCATATATTAAGAAATAAATCAGATTTAATGGTCTTGCAATATGGGAGCTAACACTCCTGGAGGTCTTGACAGGGTAGACAGAGGCATCCCATCACAGCTCAGGTCAAGGTAATTCTCCATGAGTGCAATTGGCTGTCTTTGAATTCTGGGATGTTTATGGCCTTCTAGCACAAGCCTAGAGTGTATTTGTATGTTACTCACATCCTAGGGAAGCTGGCAAATAGTACTTGCACCCTCTGTTTGCCTTCTCCCAAACAAGCTACTTGTCTTACTGCTGCTGACTGCACTGCACCTGGAATGAGAACCAGGGGTGCAGCCACACCGGGCTCACACCTGTGCTTTCTCTGCAGGGGCTCTAGAAAACAAGGGAACAGCAGAGACCTAAGGATTAAGCAATGTGCAGGATCAGGATCTGATGTTTAAATGCATGTTGAATGAATTTTTTAGCTGGAAGGATCAATGCAATTGCTAATCCCTTGTCTATAAGGTCCCTGTGCCGCTTGAGGAAGAGGGGGATCTGCAATCCTCCTGAAGGAGTAGGAGAGACTGAGCACCTTGACTCCCGACAGACTTGAGAGATTCTGCTCTTAAACATACAGAACTCCCCATTTCCAGCTCTGGCAAGCTGAACCTTAGTTAAGCATAGAAATTCTGTACATAGGTGTGCGTGCAGGACTTGTGAAGGGCCTGACAGTAATCCCAGTGTAAGGAATAGTAGATAAAAATGGTCTAATGGGTTAAAAACAAGCCTGCTGCATCATCTCTTGATTTTACACTGATGTTCCTGTCAGATTTCAGGATAAGAAGATTTGTTTCCATCTCAGAGGTATTTCTTGTCAAGGTGTGCAATAGAATTGAGGTTGACAGTTTAAAAATTAATGCTTTGGGAGAGATGCTCCAGGCCACTTCCCCTGTAGAATTCCTGTGGTGTTTTGAGTGCATTTGATCTGGTAGGGGACCAGAAATTCTCATAACCAGTATTAGCACCTATCACTACAGTGCAGTCACCTATGGTGTTGCTCAGGGGATGTGTAATGTACTCTAGAAGCTTTACCTTGTTATTCTGAACTCTAATATCCTTCTGTGCTGTTGATATTAAATTTGCTCCTCAGCAAAGTATAAAAAGTTCCTGCAAATTTTTTATTCACCTAATAATAGAAAGATTTAAACACAGAGGAGAAAGAACAATAAGAACAGAAATGTGTAGTTAACTACCAGAAAAAAAAAAATGTTCCAGAACTTAGATTCCCTGCTCCGTGGCAAGATGTGTCAAAGGATGTAGTAGAAAGACCAGGAAAAACTCTGTGGTAACTGTTGCAGAGCAGATTCAGGTTCATCCCTGCCCATGGCCAATCCTCTGTGGAAGCCTGAAGTAGTTCCTGGCCAGCCCATTGAGCAGTGCACCCTTTGAAAGGCCAGCTTGCACCTCACTGGTGCATGCTGGTTCCTGCTCTTCCATGCCAAGTATGTGAGCAGCTCTGCTTCTGGGGCTCCAGCTTGTGTCCCGTGTTTGTTCCCAGGTGCAGAAGGGTGTTACCTTCCAGGTTATTTCTCTGCAGAGTCACAGAAGGTGGGTGTTGTGACAGTGTGAGCTCTTCAAAGCACTTGGGCAGTTACAAGCAGTTACCCCTAAACACTGTCATGTCCACAGTCAGAGCAGTCTCCAAGACCACCTTCACTGTCTCAGTCTTGACTCGAGTCAGATACTTGCAAAAATTGAGTCACTCTGCCTTAAAAGTCAGTGAATAGACCAATGTGAAAAATGTCATCTGGCAGCTTTCCTTCCAGGTACGCATAAGGACCGTGAGAAGCCTTGCATTAACAGTGAAGTCTCTCTGTGTTTCCTGGAGCTGGAGCACACAGCCCCTGTGTGACACATGCCTAGACTTGACAGCAGGGCTGATCTCACTGATCTGCTGCAATCGTATGTCAACACATTAATTAACAGATCATAATGAGAGCTGAAATTTGCTGCAGTGATTTCTGCTAGGCAGCCCTGCCACTAAACATCTCCTTTCCACGTACATTGGCAGTGAACGTAAATGCTTGGCTATGATTTTTTTTTTTTTTTTTTACTTAATGTCAGTGTCTGTTTTATGGTGTGTTATCAAAACCATCTGTAAAGAAGAGGTACTGTCCGAGGGCCATTTAATAATCACGCTGCTAGTCTTTCATAAATACCTCTTGGTTGGTGATAACCCCAGCCCTCTAGGTCTCTTCTGAATCATCAGGGACTGGCATACTCATTATAGCCTACAGGCCAAAAATGATGTTTCAAAGACTTAATCTTACTAAGTCTCAAGACAAATTTAAGTAATTATTACTTTCATTTGAATATTTAATTTGATTAAGCTGCAATGATATGCTTTCTGTTCCTGAGCCTATGAAATGGGTTGTCTGAAGAACCACACTGCATTCAAAATTTGCTTTCAGAAAATCTGAGCTTCTGTGAGCTCTGCACTGATTTGCTAATGGGAGAAAACATGATGATGGGAGTGCTGGTCCTGCACCCCCTGCTGCTGTGGGTGCCAGTGAGGATGACACAGAGAGGATAATTCAGCTTGTGGTTGCTCTCAAAGGAGATGTGTTCACAGGAATGCTGATCAGCAGACAGCGTTCAGCCTCCTCTTCCAGGATGGCAGAGCAAGTGCTGCAGCCTGGGCTACAGGGAACACGTGTGTGCAGTTGGGAGAGGGTCAAAGCTCAACAGGTTCGACCACAGAGCCAGCAAATGTGGGGGTTCAGCACTGATGCTTGTTCTGGACTTAGAAAAAGTAAGGAGGAAAAATGGTTGAGGTTGAAGGTAGAAAATGAAAGCCAGGAGCTGCAATCTATATTGGAGGAGGATGAAGAAGAACAAGAGGCAGGTACAGATGAGGGACTGCAAGAACTCTCTTGAGAAGCAGCTGAATTGCGCATTGTGATATGTAATGTCAACAAGAAATATACTAGAATAAATAATTAAATGAAAACTTTTGCTTAATGAAAACATGACAAACTCCTGCCCCCATAACATGCTCATAACTAGAGAGAATAAATAAATAGCAATGCTAAGAACCCAGAAAAGAAAAGGCTAATCTTTAGTGGGTGTGCCAGATAAGAAATGCCATGTCTTCAGGCACTCTGAAAAGGCATTAGACTAATAGGCACTGCAAATAGTGCTGAGATGGCCCATATTGTGAAGAGGGGACCCCTCCCTCCACCCCTGCCAAACACACACATTTCTGTGTAGATTCCAAAGTAGTATTTTAAAAGGCTGCAGGAAAAATAACTATGCCTCTAATTTAAGTGGATTTGAGTATTCTTTTCCAGAAAACCTGAGCTGACAGTGTGAAATATCCAGCAGTTTACTGCTCTCTTTAAAAACTGATATTTATTTGGTTTTTATTAAGTGAACTATGTCCAAAGGATTCACTTAAACATTTATGTATTTAATTGGGCTATTTTTTTTCAATCAAATAAAAGTGGTTGTATAGCTCCATCTCTGACAAAGAGGAGTTATTCCTCAAATGAAGATACCCTGCCAAGGAAGACTCCATTTGTTGGTTAAATTACATTCAATAGATGAGCTGTTTTGCAAAGGGGGATGGGGAATAACCTCCATAAATAGACAACATAAACACCTCCATAAAGAGGCTGTCGTACCTGTAGAGGGGCTTGCTCCCTGCTCTTCTCTAGAAGTATGGCTTTGCCTTCACAAAAAGAAGCCTACTGATAGATTATGCCTTTGAAAAATGACATCTTGCAAATCTTGTTGAGAGGTCAGAGCCATGATAGGTCTGTGCTGTGCTGCTCCGCTTGTAGTTCCCAGCTTCCCAGCAGTCAGCATGACCTCTACGAAGGTCTTGGAGCCCCTCTCCCTATTGCAGCATCCCATCTGGATCACAGATCACACATGGAGCACATTTCTCACTGAAACACTAGATTATGAACAGGACAAATCTTCTACCACACTTTTAGGTCATTAACTCCTAGAAATAGGGCAATACAAATAAATGAGGGCAAGAAAAAAAAAGAAATATTTATGTTTTAAACCAGCACAGTTGCTTGCTCATTGACCGAGTCAAAGTCTGTACTCTAATATGGAAACAGGGTAATAGTGCCTGAGGTGGAGACTGGAGTAGGAAATGAGTACTGCTCAGAGGGAGTGCCTTTCACTGAGGATGGATCAAAAGCATCTTCATCTGTTGTCACCATGCAAACTGTTACTGCTATGTTGCATTATTCACACCCTGGACTTGCCTGTGGGCCCATTCAGGGCAGCAGTAACGTGGCACAGCAGGATGGAGCTGCTGACTGAAGGGTGTAAAAGTGAGTCAGATCTACTCACTTTTATGAGTACCCAGAAATCCCTGGGTCTGCAAAAGGAATTAGCAGGCAGTTTCCCAAAAGTAACCGTCATTATGGCATATCATATAGCACACATTCAATTTTGCTGAGCTAGAGGCACTAATACCATTTTGTTTTCATTTCTAAATGTAATACACAAGAAAAACAGATGGAAAAGGAGTGTTTTATCAGGAAATTCATTAAAGTGAGGGACTCTGCATTAAGCTGAGTATGCACAAAAGTGAAGACTGCACTAGACATTTGCAAAATCTTCCACATTCTATATATTTAAGCTGTGTGAAGAAACTTCTGAACTTGCGTGCGTCTTTTAAAGGGGCAGTGTGAGTGTACATGTGTGAACACACTTGTATTGGTTTCAAAAGTCTAAATATCAATGTGAGATTTCATTTTTGTCCATTGACTTCCCTGGATGT